GGTCTGTGAAGAGAACGAGTGTATTGAAGAAGATACCGTAGATCCCTCGTGGTTCTGTGACAACGATGAGTCAAGTTCCTCGTTCAGCAAACTATCCTTCTTCATAGGTGAGGCAGCCGTCTCGAACAAAAGCCACATGCACAAAACACTGCAGTGCGCTATGCGCTCCAAAAGTAATCGTCGTGTAGGTAGACCAAGCGATTGCCTTTTATCGCTCGACTGCCAAAAATAGCCGTTCTTTGTCGAGCATGAGGAATAAATTTCGGTTTATCAGCTCTGACTATTACTTGCTGAAGTTAAGACATATTGAGAGAGATCGTGAGCATCAATTTGTCAAATTTGGTTCATAACCTCTCTTTTGATTTTTTTTGAACTTTTGATTTCTGCGACTAACAAGCGCTTTACTAGGTAACGTTTGCGCGGATCGCCTCGTTCGTCTTCTGGTGTTAGCAGAGAAATTGAAGGAAAGAGTTGTGGAAATGTTCAACCTGGGCATTTCTTTGCACGACACAGATATCCGCCTTATCGCAGCTCTGCTGCGATGTTATGCGAGCACGTGCGAAAAAGGAAATCCCACTGATCTTTGGCCCCGCGAACCTCTAGGCGCCAAATACGTGCGATGGCGAATAATCCATTGAACTTTGGTCCGTGGGGGCCCGCTGACCACCCATACTGGCGCCAAAAAAGGCACAATGAACTTTGACCCCTGGGGGGTATAAAAGACCCCGATGTCTAGGTTGAACTAACTTCGCTGTTAATTTCTATTCTTTCTGATTGCAGTTGTTTTATTCGATGTTAATCTAACCCTTTTCGGAACTTAGTGCAAGACTATTAGAGTTATTGTTCGGTTTGAATAAATATTGTAACACAATATCTATTCCGACTGCTCGAAACAATTTTCACGCCTTATGGCATTAATTATTACCAAGGAGGAACTCTTCATTGAAAATTTCAAAGCCAGCCATCATTGGATACAGTCCTTCAAGCGGAGTTGTGGCATTGTATCTCGACGTGTGACTACATTCATTCCGAGGAAGAGCTTTTCAAATAGGAACGAAGTCTCTTCTGAAGTACACAAGCTCCTTCTCGGAAGTGGAAGAAGGTAACTAATTCAACTTGAAAAAGAACTAGTGGTTGATGCATAAGCATTAGTGTGGTTGATGCATAGGTATAACCGAAAATGAGAGATGACTGTTTCCTTTTAAAAACTCTTTCACGTATGCAGAGATGAAAACTCATCCACTTGACACGGTTTGCAATGCCGATCAGAGCGGCTTTGTGAAAGAGCTCAATTCTGTCAGGTTTCTAGCTTCAGGGGGCGTGAAAAGGTGGAGAGGACGTTTCAGTCCGTGTCAGCACTACCATTTGTTCACAGGTTATATGCCAGTCCATTGGTCCGCAGGTGGCCATTTCAAGAAAGCTTTCTTCTGTGATCGTGCAGGTGGTATAAAGCAAACAAACATATCTGACTTTTGAAATTCTTCTGTCAGCAAGTGAATGCGGGAAATTCCCAAGACAAAGGGAACTTGCATGGCATATCATCGAAATCTGAGTATGTCGCTACCGTAAAGTGAGGTCTCGATGGGTACCTCATGCGCTGACCGATCACGACCGAGCAGCCCGCGTGAGCATTTGTGAAAGTCTTCTTCTACGACCACATAGACAGGACTTTCTCAAGTCGATCATCACTGGAGATGAGTCCTGGGTTCACTACGAGAACAGCACACGGCACGCCTACTGGCTGCCTCGCGGTCAGGACCCACCAGCTCAACCAAAAAACCTAATGCCCATGCTCGGAAGATAATGCTGTCTGTTTTCTGGGATTGGCAAGGCATGCTATTTTGGGACTTGCTCGACTACAAGCAGACAGTCACTGCCGATGTTTACACGGAGTGAGCTCCAGAAGGCTGGCATGAAGCTGTGCAGAGAAGCGTCCGAAGACGACTCAGCGTTCTGTCTTCTCCATGACAACGCCTCGACCTCACACAGCAAGGTCGACTCGTCACATTCTCCAGGAGCTGGGCTGGACGACGGTACCACATCCACCCTATAGCCCAGATCTTGCTCCATCAGATTATCACCTTTTCCGCGCTTTGAAGCACTACCTGGGGACAAAAAATTCAGTCTACGAATTACCTCAAAAACGACTTCCGATATTCATTGATCGCAGACACGCTCCTTTCTGGGAGGAGGTATCCAATGGCACTAGTACTAGAAATGGGAATGTCGTGTCATTGATAATGACGGTGATTACATTGCTGATTGATTGCTTTTTTAAACGAGTAAAAATGAATAAACAAAAGTGTTGAAATTGCGACAGTAATTATGAGACAACCCAATACGTGGAGGCGCCTAAGCAATGTGATGGCCGTCATAATTTCGTATAAAAACTGTGTCATATAATTTGTCGAATATTTCATTCAATACAGCCAATCTGACCAATAGAAGTGCTCATGGTTGGCCATCGTTCGTGCGATTAGCAAGCGATAGGCTAGTAGGCGATAAGTGAAAGGATACGTCTGATTTGCTGCTCCACCCATTGAGCGATCGCCTAATCGCCTAATCGCCTACTCGCCTACAACGCTCTATGGGCGGAGCAAACCAATCAATACGTATGTAGTCTTTCACACCTAATCGCCTGATCGCACGTACGATCGCCAACTATGAACACTCCATAAGCTATGTAAGTGGGGTGCACATACTCCCACTCTCACCTGAACCAAATCAAGTTGATCGTGCGTGTCAGAGATACATACGACCTTCAAGTAAGGTCCAGATGGCGGCGAGTTCACTTCCCTGAAATGATCCATTAAAATACAATTGTGAGCACGAAACACGGTCAGCCGGCCAACGAAGAGGGTCATATTTGAAATCTTTTATAGGGGTCGAATTTTGGGTTAGAAGGCTAAACGGTATAAAAAAGGGATTTGTCTTCGGAAGTTGAAGGTTTTGTGGCGCTTTGGACGGGTTCCGTGACGAAGAAAACTTTATGAAAGGAGCAGAAAGTAGGAGAAATCACCGCGGTGAGTGATATCAAAGTATCATGAGAGTTGAAGTCAGGAAGGGAGAGGGGATCTCATTACTAGACTTCCCTAAGGCTGCTGGTGTTCGGGGGGGGGATCGTATCGAGACCTCCCTAAAAGAGGGGGATCGTAAAACTTTTGAAATCTGCGCAACACGCAATTGACTATGCGCGAAATATCACATGAGAAGGGTCTTTGAAACCGTGCACTTTCATCGCCTAGATAAGACTAAAATTGAAATAATTTTTTTAATTGATAATTAATTTTTTAATTAATCTCGATAAATAACTTGTTTGAAGAACCATAACACTTACCCATGAGAGGTAATCTGAACAGGAATTTGGACTTTCTCCGCTTTGATTGTGTCCCAGTAGTCCTCTTCACTGGTAGGATCTTTTTTCCTGACTGCAATTCAGCGGTTATAAAGACATCTACGGTACAAGGTCGTGTAAGACCAGTGCACATGTTGGAGGGTAGAGAAAACTGAAGGGTGCTAATTCGCATAACTAATGATAAGTATGATAGACGGTGGCAGTGCGTGGTAAACAGTGATACTTGCTGATAAAGAACGACAAAGGGAGTTAGAAAGTGAGTGCAACTGGCTCAGTCTTCGTCATAATGATGCAGCGAAACACTGACGAGTTTTAATCATGATTACATTATGATTCCGATTTCATTATAATTATGGGCGCTGTCGCAATATCGCTTCCTCTAGGACTAACCATAAGCCTTGGAGCAGGTAGGAGCTCCAGGGAAAATCCGCCTAGGGGTTAGTCCTATTTTAACAAAAAAGACATGTTTTACGTGGTTTCATATGCGCTGTCGTCACAGTGCCCCATGTATTGTGATAGCGCCTACTTATGATTATATTAGTAAGGAACAGGAACTTCGGGGGAAAATGGAAAGTTGCCTGCGCCCCTTGGAGTCACTGCCCGCCCGCCCAAGGCTTGGTCTC